CCTTAGCCGCTTGAGCCACAGGCGCCAAGCCGGTCTTGAACTTTTGACCTCAGGGGATTCTCCCACCTCAGCCTCCCAGAATGCTAGGATTATAGGCATGAGCCACTTCGCCTGAGCTACAAATTCTTATACTGAAACATTGGTGGAATATAAAAATAAGAGACAGGTGGGCTCACTCATGACTGTTACTGAATATATTTGTCACTGCAGCAAGCAGTGATGCCCTATAAGAAAGGAGAAGGTTTTTTAATGAAAGGCCATTGTTTTCTGTTGAGGGTTTCTGCTGGGATTGGCAGTGACCTGTTCTTCTCCTGCCATCCTCAGCTGAGCAGGGCTACCTTGCCAGGCCAGCAGTGCACCAAACAGATTAATATCTGCTGCATCAATAGAACAAAAAGAAGGCCTGTAATCCTAGCACTCTTGGAGGCCGAGGCAAGAGATTGCTTGAGCTCAGGAGTTTAAGAGCAGCCTCAGCAAGAGCGAGGCCCAGTCTCTAAAAAATAAAAATGGCCAAGCGCTGTGGTGGGCACCTGTAGTCCCAGCTACTTGGGAGGCTGAGGCAAGAGAATCACGTAAGCCCAAGAATTTGAGGTTGCTGTGAGCTGTCATGCCACAGCACTCTGCTCAGGGTGACAAAGTGAGACTCTGTCTCAAAAAACAAAACAAAACAAAAACAGAAAGAAGAAAATACAAACAAAAAGATTACTTAATTTTGTTATGTCTTTTGGTCTTCCTCAGGCCACTCAGCAGTAAGAATGATGGGCTCAGAACCTAGCAAAGATAAGACAAATTCATTTTTATTTGTGTTTTTACAGGCTGAACAATCCTATAGCTTTTATGTGAGAGGTTTATAAATTTGGGACTTCTGCCTATTCTTTCATTTCAGTGGTGAGATAAGGAAAGCATAATTCTTGTCAAGTTAAAGGAGAAGTTTTAGTAAGACTCTAAACTAAAAAACACTCTTTAAGCATTCTTTTTTTTTTTTTAATTTTTTGTTTGAGACAAAGTCATGCTCTGTTGCCTGGGCTAGAGTGCAATGTTGTGATCACAGGTCACTGCAACCTCCAATTCTTGGACTCAATGGATCTTCCTGCCTCAGCCCCCCAAATAACTGATGCCAGAACATCAGGCTGTTTTTCTGTTGTTAGTACAGATGGGGATCTCATTCTTGCTGAGGCTGATCGCCTGAGCTCATGCTATCCTCCTAGTGAGCCACCATGTCTGGCCTATTTAAATTCTTAAGAGGCTTGCTGGGTGTTTTTTGATTATTTTGTTTTTATGTGGATCTTCTTTAATTTACATGTTGTTAATTGAACAATGTGGAAGTCAGACATATCTACATTCTTCTTGTCTCACCCTTATTAGTTTAAACACACCATTTCCCAAATTAATGTCCCACAGAACACTTTCCTGGAGGATATTAATCAGCATGTCAAGAAATAAATGTTTATATACAAAGAATGTTTGTGAAATGGTAGGTTAAAATTAGACATATTTCTTTACTGTGATACTACGCAGAATCTTCTAAAGTAATTATAAACTCCAAGTAAGAGCTGTATTACACATCCATTTAAAAATGTGTTTGGATTTATAACTTCTTTTCCAGATGTAGCTATTAATAACATCTAGAGAAAATTGCTATGGAATAGCAGTTTGGGAAACTAATTGGAAGGAAGTAGGAGCTAAAGATAATAAAGAATGCTAAGCCCTGTGGCAATCAGTGCCATGAATGGAAAATTAGGAACTCTTGTTACCACTCAACCAGTTCTAAATAATATATCACAATGACTGATGGGGTCCAAATAACCAGCTACTTAATTGTGAATGTCTTACTACAAGGAAATATTTTATAGCAGCCAAGTAAGAAGGCACCAAAACAAAGAACCTTAAATGTATTTTTCAAAATCTTAATCTCCCTAAACTTTTTTTATTTTTATTTTTATTTTGCAGTTTTTGGCCAGGGCTGGGTTTGAACCTGCCACCTCCAGCATATGGGGCCAGCGCTCTACTCCTTTGGGCCACAGGCGCCACTTCCTCCCTATAAATTCTTCTTAAAACCACCTGTTAAAAAATCCACTTTGATACTCATTCATAAACTTCAGTGAAATTTCATTTAAAAAATCACAAAAATTAAACAAAGTGAATCTAAAATTTATAAGGAAGAGCAAAAATAACCAAGGCAACTTTAAAGATTAAGAAGGATTGGTGGCTGGGTAGAGGCTCATGCATGTAATCCTAGTACTTTGGGAGACCAAGGTGGAAGGATCACTTGGGGCCGGGAGTTTGAGATCAACCTGGGCAATAGAGTGCGACCCCATCTCTACAGAAAATAGAAAAATAAGGTGGGCATGGTGTTGCACACCTGTGTTTCAGCTGAGACAGAAGGATGGTTTATATCTAGGAGTTTAAGGCTACAGGGAGCTGTGATGATGCGGCTGCATGCCAGCCTGGGCAACAGAGTGACTCTGTCTCTGGGGGGGGAAAAAAAAGAAGAAGAAGGGGAGATGGACTGTTGTAAGTAATTATGATAGTTTTTTTGTCAGCAAACAGAGAATTAGATCCCTGGAACAGAATAGGGACTCCAAACAGGCATGGATGAATACACACGGTTCTGTATCATGTAGTGTGATAGAGGCAGCTTACAGATCAGTGAGATAAGTGCTATGTCAAGAAAGGGTGCTGGAACTGTTGGTTATTCAGGTTTTTAGTCTATGTAGGATTTGATTCATCTTATAATACAGAAATCTGAAGACGTGAAAGTAAAGTCAAATGGAAACATTTGGAAAAAATACATGAAAATACCTTCATGACTTTGAGGTAGAGAATAAGTTCTTAAAATGCAATAAGTATAAAAACCGTAAGAAAATTGATAAATTTGACTATGTGAAAATTTAAAATTTATCTACGTGAGTACATCATGAAAAGGATATGAATAGGGAGTCATGACTGAGCAGTGCACACAGGCAACAAAGGATAGTGTCAAGGATAAATAAGAAACTATGCATCAGAAAGAATAAGACAAATCAGTAAAATCAGAAAATTTCATCTTTCACAAAAGATGAAATCT